ATATTCTATTCATCCGGGTTCCACGAAGATGTATCGTCACTTGAGAGAAGTTTATTGGTGGAATGGCATGAAGAAGGGCATTGCAGAGTTTGTTGCTAAGTGTCCAAATTGCCAACAGGTGAAAGTTGAACACCAAAGGCACGGTGGTTTAGCTCAGAGGATAGAACTTCCGGAATGGAAGTGGGAGATGATCAATATAGATTTCATCACGGGGTTGCCAAGGTCTCGCAGACAGCATGATTCTATTTGGGTGATTGTCGACAGAATGACAAAGTCAGCCCATTTTCTACCGGTAAAGACTACCAATACAACAGAAGATTATGCCAAGTTATATGTTCAAGAGATAGTGAGACTTCATGGAGTTCCAATCTCCATTATTTCAGATAGAGGTGCATAGTTCACTGCACAGTTCTGGAGATCTTTTCAGAAAGGATTGGGTTCGAAGGTGAACTTGAGTACTGCCTTTCATCCTCAGACTGATGGGCAAGCAGAGCGTACTATTCAGACTTTAGAGGATATGTTGAGGGCTTGTGTGATCGATTTCAAAGGCAATTGGGATGATCACCTACCTCTCATTGAGTTTGCCTACAATAACAGTTATCACTCTAACATCCGGATGGCTCCTTACGAAGCTCTTTATAGGAGAAGATGTAGATCTCCTATTGGATGGTTTGAAGTTGGTGAAGCACAGTTGATAGGACCAGATTTAGTTCACCAAGCTATGGAGAAGGTGAAAGTGATTCAAGAGAGGTTGAAAACGACACAGAGTCGTCAGAAATCCTACACTGATGTCAAGAGAAGGGCGTTAGAATTTGAAGAAGATGATTGGGTGTATTTAAAAGTTTCACCCATGAAGGGGGTTATGAGGTTTGGTAAGAAGGGGAAACTTAGTCCCCGGTATATTGGACCTTACCGTATAGCCAAGAGAATTGGCAATGTTGCTTATGAGTTGGAGTTACCACAGGAACTAAAAGTAGTTCATCTGGTATTTCATGTCTCCATGTTGAAGAAGTGCATAGGTGATCCTTCATTGATCCTACCGACTGGAAGTATTAAGATCAAGGATAACTTATCTTATGAGGAGGTTCCTGTTCAGATTCTAGATCGTCAAGTTCGTAGGTTGAGAACGAAAGATGTAGCCTCAGTCAAGGTCCTATGGAGGAACCAATTTGTTGAGGAAGCAACTTGGGAAGCCGAAGAGGACATGAAGAAGAGATATCCATATCTCTTTGAATCCGGAGGAAATGCAGATTAAGGTATTAATTTCCTTCTTAGTGTGGGTTGATCCTTTCCCCCACACACCTAACTCATTGTTATTGAGAAAAGATTGGATATGTTGTTGAAGTTGTTGGGTTGTGTTGTTGATGTTGTTGATTGTGTTGTTGAAGTTATTGTTGGTTGTGGGACATGATTTGGTTGTGTATTTGAGTTGTAATCTATTATATGTTAAGAGATTGATGATCCTTAGTGTTTGGGGTTGAATCCATTGAAGTAAGGGTGGTTTAGAGTTGGCAAAACAAGGGAGAAAAATTGAGTTTTCTGGGCTAGGGGTTGGCGCGTCGCGCCTGCCAGCGCGCCCCAAAAGGGGCTCTGAAGTCCAGCCCTTGGGGCGGCGCGCCTCTCAGAGCGCCAGCAGGTGCCTTCTGAGCTTCAAGGTCTGGCGCTCCGCGCCTCTCAGAGCGCCAAGCTTTCCTATTCCTTCCCCACTTTCTCATGGATGTTCCTAGGTGTTACACCTATGTTCCCTACTTGTTTCCAACACCCCAAAGTGTTTCTAAACATCCCGAACTCATCTAAATACGTGCGATCATACACCTTGAATTCATAATTCAATTCAAGGCGAGTTAATATCAAGCTAAGGTGAAGTTAGAGTCAAGTCAAGCGATGTTAAGACATAAGTTCAAGCAAGTCCTCCAAGCTTTTCAAGAGTCTTCATTGAACGTTTTAACTTCATTCTAAGGCTCCAGTTCCAAGTTAAGTATACAGTTTCAAGTCGAGTAAAGAGTATCGAGTTTCAAGTTGAGCAAAGAGTTTAAAGTTGAGTTCATTTCTCAAAGTTATTAGGGAACTATGTATTCCCAAAGAAGTTTTAAAGAAATGTTTTTACATTTAAACAAGGTTGGAAACTGAGATTTCCAAAAGAGCCTTTGGGCTAGTTTTTGAGTAATTATCTCAATCAGCAGGAAGACATATGTTTTAAAAACATAAGAGTCAGTACATTTTTGGGAGTAGTATCGAGCACCGAATTGGAGGAGCGTTCAAAGAACCCACAGCCCCCATAGAACCATGTTAGCCACCATGGGTAGAAAAGGATCATATTTTTAAATGAATCCTTTTCCAGATAGACTAGTGGATCCATTAGGCAGTTCAGGTTTTATACCTTTGGCCGGGTATAAGATGCTCTGGCAGCGTGAGGTCGATCGCTGTATCATCACTATAGCTCTCATGTGATGGTTGCCGGTTAGAGAAACTCCCACAGCAGTTATTGTATTTTCATACACAGAAACTATTGTATTTTATATACATCAGTTCATTTGTATTTCTATATACATCTCAGGCTTATTGTATCTTTGTATACACACAAAGTCTATAGCAGGTTTTAAACAGTCTTTCTTTATATCGTACTTGTTTTAAATTGCCTTATATTGAAAAAAGTCAGTCAGGTTGAGTTGAGCCAGGTAAGCTTTTCAGTTCATCCAGATTTCCTTCTAGCCTATGTTGCTTAGTTTCCAACTCGCATACTCGTACATTCCATGTATTAATGCCAGTTGGCCTGCATCTTATGACAATGCAGATACATGTACCTCGGGTCAGCATCCTGCACGTCGTTGATCCAGCTGAGGACTCCAGAGTCAGTGGTAAGCCTCCTTGCATTCCGGAGGACTCAATTGTTTTGTTTTATTAGGGTGTTGCGGGGTCTGTCCCAACATCCATCTCAGTATTTTAGAGGCTTCATAGACAGTCAGTCAGTTAGTTTTGAGTCTCTCATCTATGTATATATGTAAATATTCTATTTTGAGACCCGAGGTGCCTTGTTGGCCAGATTTGTATCAGTTAAGTTGTCTTAGGACTTTGCCTTGCATGAAGTTATTCTGTTGAGTTAGGTTTCCGCTGAGTTAAGAAAGCCAGGCCAAGGGTTCGCTTGGGGCCAGCAATGGTCTCCGAGTGTCGGTCTCGCCCAGGGTGTAGGCTCAGGGCGTGATAAGAATGAAAGTGTGAATCAAGTTATTTTAATTTTTAACTATGCCTAAAATGGTTATTTTTCAAATTTGGTCATAGTTCAGGTAATCATGAATTTTATGATCTTTGGTTGACTTGAAATTTGATGGTTCCAACGAAAATCGTTTAGATGGGTTTAGGTAGTTTGTTGGATTAAAATTTGATTTGAATATGATAAGATCATTCTTTATGTTAATTATGTTTATGTTAAATTTGGAACATGATTACACATGGTTATTTAACATGAATTGATATGTGAAGAGAATGTATGTCATATTGTTTTAATTCTAAAGATACTTAAATTACTTGAATTTGAATTTGATCATAGCTTTGGAAATAAAGATTCTTTATAGGCTCCAATTGACTTGAAATTTGGTAAGTTCATTGATAACGACATAGTAAGAAGTACTCATTCTTATGTGGTTATGATTCTTTGAGGTCGTTAAAATGATTTTAAAGTTGTTCTTTAGAATTAAAATGTGATTTAGTATGAATGACATCCTTTATATTGGTTTTATTTATGTTATATGTGGTACATGATTATACGTGATGAGTTAACATAAATTGATATATGATAAGGATGTAAATTCTGATTATTTTTCCTCAAATCGTTTGAATCTGAATTTGATCATAGCTTTGGAGATAAATATTATTTTTGAACTCTGATTGATCTGAAATTCGGTAGGTTTATCATAAATGATCAAATTAAAAATACTCATTATTATGAAGTGATTTGGCAATTTGAGGTCATTTAGATAATGTTTTTAGATATATTTTTTAATCTTGAAAATTAATTTTAATGAAAATTACTTGACTATGATACAGTGGTGATAGAGATTGTTCTATATGGCATTCATGACTAAATTTTAGTGAAGTATTAAGTTCATGTGTTGGCTTAGACCTTCCTCCATATCGGATGAAATTAATACAAGTCATTAAAATTTAATCTCTAGTTTTGATTATCTATATTGGCTCTCCCTATCTGAGAAATATATGATTGGATCAAGGATCTAGGGATAATGATATTCATTGGACTTAATTTAACATATACTCTCCATCTGAGTTAGCTTTTGTTTTACATTTGTTAGAGTGAATATCTGACACTAGATATGTATATTGTATGAGTAGCTATTTTTCCATTAAAATTTATTGTTCAAGATGCATGGATATCTATGTGGTGTGTTTTGATTTTTATTTTGTCTTTATTTATTATTTAATAATTCTATTTTATCCTTTTTACTATACATTTTCAAAGCAGCTCTACTCTGAACTTTAATATTCGTGTTGGGTTATCATCAATTTATGGAAACGTGACATTATATAATGACGAAGAATGTAACAATACAATTTATCTAAACATTATTGTATTTATTAAAACAATACAGTAGGGTAAAAGACTATATATCAAACACCATAAACTCTAGCCTTGCTGCAAAAGAAAGGTCATGAACTTTTAGAATTTATTTTGCCAAATGAGGAGATGATACAACAAGTACTGCATCAACTTCCCCTAGTTGCAAGTGCATCAATGACCCTTTTTTTTAATTCAATTTCAGATTAACATTTATTTTATTTAATAAGGAACCTATCTACTCTATCCGACTAGTTCCGGTTTACTTTCAGGGCAACCCACTATCATATCGAAATTAAAATTCTGTAGAGAACTGTCATATTACTCATATCTTTTATCAATATAATTTGGCAATCTCAACGAACAAATGAGGATATCATCAATCTATATTCATGAAAATTGCTTGGATTTGGTGTCAAAATCACATAACAGTATTTCTGTATAATTCCAACCAAGATCAATTATGCACTTAGAAAGATTGAAATACAACTTTACATAGAGTCTGAATAAGAAACTAAGCATCATTAAACTATATATATGATAATGACATTTTTAATCATGTGAAATGGCAATCAAGTGAAGATCATTCTTTCTAGTTGCAGATATTCCAAGTGTTTCAGTCATATCCAGATCCTCCGGTTGTTGCCCATAAGGAAGTTTCCAATCGAAGTGATAAAGCAACTGTGCTAGAGGATACACAACATTAGCTAAACCAAAATGCATTCCTGGACACATCCTGCTTCCTGCACCAAACGGAATATATTGAAAATGATTTCCATTAAAATCCACACAACTGTTTTCAAATCTCTCTGGCACAAAAGTTTCAGGGTCGTCCCAACTTTCAGGATCTCTTGCAATAGCCCAACCATTAACAACCACTTGGGATTTAAGAGGAATAGTGTAGCCATCAATTATTGTTTCCTCCCTGCATTGCCTAAGGCCTAAAAGAGGAGATGCAGGGTGTAATCGTAGTGTTTCATTAATCACTAACTTCAGATACTTCAACTCTTCGACATCATTGTCATTCAAATCTTTCTTCCCTGTACAGACACATCTCACTTCTGCTTGTGCTTTGGCCATCACCTTTGGGTTCTTCATCAGTTCAGACAACGCCCATTGTATTATTACTGACGAAGTTTCAGTTCCCCCAAAGAACAAGTCCTACAACATTGAAGTTCAGCTATTAATATATGATTTTTGACAAAAGATAGACAGAGTTACCTAGTACTTGTTTCTGGTGGCGTGCAAGCTGACCTAGACACCACAGTTATTAAAAAGAAAGATAGATATACCAACAACTAAACGAAAGATGGTAAGATCTCCACATGTTTCTTAATCTGTTCCTCTCCTGATAACAATTAACAGGAGCAGCTGTTATATCAAACAGTTCAAACATGAGCATTCACTCATTTTTCATTTGTTCTAGTTTATGTGACACAATAAGTGTAAACATGAACAAGACTCTAAATGAATGATTACTTTGATGAGATAGAACCAAACTTACTAGAACGATTGCCTTGACGCTGTCGTTTGTGATTGGAAATTGAAGTTCACCATTCTCCATAACTCTGAGCAAAACGTCAATCAAATCTTCACCCCCAAACTCACTATTTCCCTCTTTTCCATTTGCTCGATTCTCTTTATGTTCATGAATTATTTTCTCTAAAATTACATCAATCTTCTGATGTAAACTCTTCAATCTGTTTCTCATTCCACCAATTCCATGAAGTAATGTCCAAGAAGGAAAGAAATCAGCCATATCAAATCCGCCAGATAAGGATAGTACTTCCCTCATCAACATCAACAAATTATCTCTATCATCCCATACTTTTCCAAAAGCTGATCTACATATAACAGAGCTAGTAAGTCTAAGAACCTTTTCAGACATATTAACCACAACATTTGGAGTAGAACCAATAGATGCAACAAGATCATGAACCGCATCTTGCCGAATTAAACTAAACGACTTGACCATCTTTGCACTAAGTAACTCTGAAATGCATATTTTACGCATTTGTTTCCAGTAATCACCATATTTTGCAAATACAATGTCTTTTTGACTATAAAAGACTATATCAGATGCCATAAGCTCTGGCCTTGCTGCAAAAGAAAGGTCATGAACTTTTAGTACTTGTTTTGCCATATGTGGAGATGATACAATAACTGCATCAATTTCCCCTAACTTCAGGTGCATTAGAGGTCCATATTTTTTGGATAAATTTCTAAGAACATGATGTGGAAGTGCTCCAATAAGGTGATGCATGCTTCCAATAACAGGCAATTTCCATGGACCTGGTGGCAATTTTTGGTTACTTTTTTTCGATTTTCGAACGAAAATAACTAAGAGGAGGAAAAAGGAAAGCAAGAATGAAACATAAATGAAATGAATCTCCATGTTTTCACACTGAGGAAGAATGCAAGAAAAATGAGGTGGTTAAATAGCTAAAGCGGTTTGGTTTGTTTCGCCCTTCACGTGAAGTGACCATGTAAGTCAGTCACATGGATAATGTTCCGTCTTTCTTTTCTAAGTGAAAGATTATTCTCTTCTTTTTCTTTTAAAAAAATAATAATTGAATTTAAAAATAAATATAGTAGCTAACTTTTTTTAAATTAATAAAAATGTAGAAAAATTAAATAATTAGACTACAACAAAAAGTAATTTAAAAAAAAATTAAAATCACTAACTTATTTATTAAAATCAAAATTAGTAAAAAATATATTTTATTTTTTCTTTTCATATGACTGACCATGTAGTAAGTCACATGAAAAATGTTCGGTCTTTCTTTTCACCTAAAAGATTATTCTCTTCCTTTCCATCATTTTTATTATTTTTTAAAAATATAATTAAATTTAAAAATAAATATAGTGTATATATATATATATATTTACTTGTTTATTTAATCTAAGATTAAAATTTCTTTTATTTAACAAGCAACTTATCTACTCCATCAGACTAGTTCCGGGTTCAAATCTCGAGCAATTCACTATCATATCAAAATTATAATTCTCTGTAGAGAAGTTTGTATTTTTCCAATCATCTTCATTAAACATTTGAATAGATCCACATAAACTTTGGTTGACACGAGTATAGAAGTCATGTTATACTGTTGGATAACAAGCCTTCCCTTTTCTACTTTGATTTGTTGAAAACTCGTGTGCTTAGGAGTCCTGATGATTAAATAAACAAAGATTTTACCATGACTACAATTTTAGAGAGGCGCCAAAGCGAAAAACAAGTTATGTGGTTTAATAGATATGCTTAAGATATTATTGTTGATTAAGTTAACTGCCATATTACCATATTTTTTATCAATATATTTAGGCAATTTCAATGAACAAATGAGGAGATCATCAATCTATATTCATGAAAGTTATTGTATAATTCCAACCAAGATCAATTATGCACTTAGAAAGATTGAAATACAACTTTGCTTAGAGTCTGAATAGGAAATTAAGCATCATTATACTATGATAATGACATTTTTAATCATGTGAAATGGCAATCAAGTGAAGATCATTCTTTCTAGTTGCAGATATTCCAAGTGTTTCAGTCATATCCAGATCCTCCGGTTGTTGTCCATAAGGAAGTTTCCAATCGAAGTGATAAAGCAACTGTGCTAGCGGATACACAACATTAGCTAAACCAAAATGCATTCCTGGACACATCCTGCTTCCTGCACCAAACGGAATATACTGAAAATGATTTCCATTAAAATCCACACAACTGTTTTCAAATCTCTCTGGCACAAAAGTTTCAGGGTCGTCCCAACTTTCAGGATCTCTTGCAATAGCCCAACCATTAACAACCACTTGAGCTTTAAGAGGAATAGTGTATCCATCAATAATTGTTTCCTCCCTGCATTGCCTAAGTCCTAAAAGAGGAGATGCAGGGTGTAACCGTAGTGTTTCATTGATCACTAACTTCAGATACTTCAACTCTTCGAGATCATTGTCATTCAAATCTTTCTTCCCTTTATGGACACATCTCACTTCTGCCTGTGCTTTGGCCATTATATTCGGGTTCTTCATCAGTTCAGACAACGCCCATTGTATTATTACTGATGAAGTTTCAGTTCCCCCGAAGAATAGGTCCTACAACATTGAAGTTCAGCTATTAATATATATGATTGTGACAAATGATGGAACTAACAATAAGTGTAAAGATGAACAAGACTCTAAATGAATGATTATTTTGATGAGATAGAACCAAACTTACTAGAACAATTGCCTTGACACTGTCATTTGTGATTGGAAATTGAAGTTCACCATTCTCCATAACTCTTAGTAAAACGTCAATCAAATCTTCACCCCCAAACTCACTGTTTCCCTCTTTTCCATTTGCTCGATTCTCTTTATGTTCATGAATTATTTTCTCCAATATTACATCAAACTTCTTATGCATACTCTTCAATCTGTTTCTCATTCCACCAATTCCATGAAGTAATGTCCAAGAAGGAAAGAAATCAGCCATATCAAATCCGCCAGATAAGGCTAGTACTTCCCTCATCAGCATCAACAAATTATCTCTATCATCCCATACTTTTCCGAAAGCTGATCTACATATAACAGAGCTAGTAAGTCTAAGAACCTTTTCAGATATATTAACCACAACATTTGGCGTAGAACGAATGGATTCAACAAGGTCATGAACCGCATCTTGCCGAATTAAACTAAACGACTTGACCATCTTTGCACTAAGTAACTCTGAAATGCATATTTTACGCATTTGTTTCCAGTAATCACCATATCTTGCAAATACAATGTCTTTTTGACTATAAAAGACTATATCAGATGTCATAAGCTCTGGCCTTGCTGCAAAAGAAAGGTCATGAACTTTTAATACTTGTTTTGCCATATGTGGAGATGATACAACAACTGCATCTATTTCCCCTAACTTCAGGTGCATTAGAGGTCCATATTTTTTGGATAAATTTCTAAGAACATGATGTGGAAGTGCTCCAATAAGGTGATGCATGTTTCCAATAATAGGCAATTTCCATGGACCTGGTGGCAATTTTTGGTTACTTTTTTTCGATTTTCGAAAGAAAATAACTAAGAGGAGGAAAAAGGAAAGCAAGAACGAAACAGAATTGAAATGAATCTCCATGTTTTTACACTGAGCAAGAAAAAATAGGTGGTTAAATAGGTATACGGGTTTGGCTTTGTTTGGCCCTTTCACATGAAGTGACTATAGTCACGTGGAAAATGTTCGGTCTTTCTTTTCGTGTGAAAGGTTGTTCTCATCTTTTTATCTTTTTTATTTTTCTTTTTAAAGATATAATTAAATTTAATATAAATATAGTACTTAACTTTTTTTAAAATTAATAAAAATGCAGGAAACTTAAATAATTAGACTACAACAAGAAGTAATTTAAAAAATATATACTAAAATCACTTAAAACCAAAATTAATAAAAAAAAAAAATTCTTTTTTCTTTTCATGTGACTGACCATGTAGTCGGTCACATGAAAAATGTTTGGTCTTTCTTTTCACGTGACTCTTCCTTTTTATCATCTTTATTAGTTTAAAAAAATATATAATTAAATTTAAAAATAAATATAGTAACTATTTTTTTAAAAAAATTATAGGAAAATTAAATAATTAAACTACAACAACAAGTAATTAAGAAAATACTAAAATCACTAACTTATTTATTAAAATCAAAATTAATAAAAATATATTTTATATACTTCTTTTCTTCTTTTCAATTTTCTTCTTTTTAATTTCTTTATTCATTTATTTTTCTTCCTTTTCCATTTTCTTCTCCTTCATTTTATTTTGTTTTTGCATTTTTTTAATTTTATTTTCAATTTCTTTATTTCATGTTCCTTCTTTTCTCTTTTCTCCTTTTTGGGGATTATTTTTTATTCTTTTCCATTAATTTTTTTCTCAAATCATAATATTTTTTATATTTTCACTATAATTTAATTTCATATATTTTATTATAGTATCATTGATCGTTGCTTCCATTCTTTAGTGAGACCTTTATGATATCATCACAATATATCTAAATATTGGCATGGTATCATTGATGTGTGCTTCGATCCTTTAGTGAGACCTCCATGATATCATCACAATATATCTAAATATTGTCACGGTATCATTGATGCATGCTACGATTCTTTCGTCTTTTAGTGAGTCCTCCATGATATCATCACACTATATCTATATATTGTCATGATACCATTAATGTCTGCTTCAATTCTTCAGTGAGATATCCATGATATTATCACAATAAATCTATATAGTGACATGATATCATTACGGTTTGCTTCGGTCTGTAATGATAATGGTGTCAGATAATATAAGACGGAGGAAATACATAATATGTAAGTTGTTGTGGTGTAGTGGTTATCGTGTTAGTCTTACACACTAAAGGTCCCCAGTTCGATCTTGGGCAACAACACTACTTTTCTTATTTGTATACATAAGTTTATAGTTTATGGACAAATAAAAGTGAACAAATGAGGGTCACAAAGTGAATGGAAAATGTTTGGTCTTTCTTTTCACGTGAAATATTATACTCTTCCTTTTTATTATTTTTATTATTTTTAAAAAATATAATTAAGTTTTAAAAAGAAATATAGTAACTATTAAAAAATTAATAAAATTATAGGAAAATTAAATAATTAATCTACAACAACAAGTAATTAAGAAAATACTAAAATCACTAACTTATTTATTAAAATTAAAATTAATAAAAAAACATATCTATTCTTTATACTTCTTTTCTTCTTTTTATTTTTTTTTCATTTATTTCTTTATTCATTTATTTTTCTGTATATTTTTCCCCTTTTTCCATTTCTTTTCCTTCATTTTATTTTTGCATTTTTTTAATTTTATTTTGAATTTCTTTATTTCCCGTTCCTTCTTTTCTCTTTTCTCCTTTTTTGGATTATTTTTTTATTCTTTATTTTTTTCATTAGCTTTTTTCCCGAATCATAATATTCTTTATATTTTTACCATAATTTAATTTCATATATTTTGTTATAGTATCATTGATCATTGCTTCAATTCTTTAGTGAAACCTCTATGCATTGATGCATGCTTGGATCTTTTAGTTCTTTAGTGAGACCTCCATGAAATCATCACAATATATCTAAATATTTTTATGGTATCATTGATGCATGCTTCAATCCTTCAGTCCTTTAGTGAGTCTTCCATGCTATCATCACACTATATCTATATATGTTTTAGTTTGGCATAAATCATAATATATATGCCCTAAGTTCTTTTTTATCTTTAAAGAGTGTTAGATTTGTTGTTTTTGAAAAACTGACGATTAGGTTTTGTTCTTTAAATTTTTAAAATTCATATATTAAATTTGAGTTTATTTTAAATAGATGTAGGTGTTGATGACTCATATGTTAGATTATTGATATTCGAAAAACAAGTTAATTTTAGGCAAAAATCTGTTTGCGCAAAAGTGCTTAAAGTTCAGGAAAAAAACAGTTAAACTTCTGTCATATATGCCTTAAGTTCATAAAAAAAAAAACTAATTGAAGTTCAAGAAAAAAATCAGTTGATTTGTCAAATATGTATGCCCTGAGTTCAAACAAAGAATGGTTAAACCTTAGACATATGTGCCTTAAGTTGATACGAAAATGTCTAAAGTTTGCTTGTCTTCGAATTAGGATTGGACATAAAATATCGAAAATCGAACTGAATCGAAATTTGTGATAATTGAATATTCGATAATTTGGATTAGTATGGTATTCAAGAGAAAAAATTCAGAATTACGGTATTCGAATTTGGGTTTGGTATTAAATATTAGTACCATTTGGTATTCGATTGGTATTTTTCTAATACCAAAGTATTTACTTCATCAACATATTCATTACTCATTAATTAGTACAAGTCCAAAGAGAAAGTTAAATAACAAACACAAACAATCCAAATACATACGTCTTTTAGTTGTATCAATTTTGTTTTTCTTGATGTTTTCTTACTTATTAATCTTCTATTATCGTGTCTCCATATAAAAAAAAATAGAAATGATTGGAGAAATGATATTAAATTTGTAAAACAATCGGCTATAGCTTCAATACAGTATTACCAAATATCGTATCAAATCGAAGTTTAATTTATCGTTTATCGAATTATCGAATCGAAATTTAAAAATTTGATATTTGATACCTACCTTTAACTACCAATTATCAAATTACTAATCCGAAATTTAAAAAATCCGAATTGAATACCCAACACCCACCGCTACTTCGAATTGCCCAAAGTTAGGTTTTGGAAAGTTAAAATTAATTATTTTTAAAATTATAAGTATTATATAACTTCAAAAAAAAATCATCATTGTTAATCTTGATATTGAGGGATAAAATACATGAATATAGAGAATCGAAAAGAGTTAAATGGTAAATTAATAAGAAAATCCCTTTTATTTATAAATTTTTTATATATAAAATATAAAGAAGAAAATGGACAAATAATATGAATTAGGAAGAAGTGACAAGCTTTTATTCTCTAATTCATATTAAGTGAATTATTCATATATTTTTCATAACTCAAAATAGATAATTTATCAAAGTCCAAGAAAATTACAAATTTTTTTTTCTTCATATTTACCCTTTATTTGATAAAATTGTTAAGCGCTTTACATTTTTTTAAAATAACTATCTCCAATTATGGACGAGAGGTATTAGCATATGTTGGGATTTGTGATAATTGTCCTCCACTCTGTTCCTTTACATCTTGTTTTGTATCTTAAATATAATATTTATTTTAATTATTACTTAAATTTTATTATATCGTATAATTTAAATTTATAATTAGCTAATGATGAAAAGACTCATATTAGCCTTAATTAATTTGGTGTAATCACTTCATTACCTTAATATTTTCTTCTCATTTTATCTTTATTTATTATTTAATAATTATATTTCATTTTTTACCCTACCTTTTCATATTAACTTTATTTCATATCCTATTTTTCTTTGTAAGTTTATCATTCAAATTATGAATGTGTAACATTATGTAAAGACGACAAATGATACTATCTATTCAAACACGATGACCAGTAAAATAATACAGTATCATATAATAAAACACAATGTGATACAATATAATACATCATATCATAAATCATATATCATATATATATATATATATATATATAAGAGAACCTTAGGTCCGCCTACGTGGCGCCACCACAAATTAGAATTCCTTGTTAATTTATTATTTTCAAAACTAGTCCTCTCCTTTCATGAAAAGTTGCGACTTTAATGAAGAGTTGCGACTTTTATGAAAAGTTGTGGCTTTTATGAAAAGTTGCGACTTTAATTAAAAGTTGTGACTTTTATGAAAAGATATGATTTTTATGAAAGGTTATGACTTTTTTGAAGAGTTGCAACTTTTCCAAATAGTTGTAACATTTCTGATAAGACACAATAAATATTTGTTCACACTATCATTTGTCGTCTATAATTAGAGGGGTTTTCTCTCATTTTAAAATAACAAAAATTATAAACCTCCTCTTTTTATTCTTCTTCACAATTAAATATGTGTGTACTTTGCTCTTGTTGAGTGGCTCACTAATAACATTGCTTATGTTACAGATCCTGGTATGTATTTTTACAATCATTAATTTATGTTTATGTTATTAAGGATAAATGATAAGATTTAATTATTTTCATTTTTTTACATTATTAATGTTTGTTACTATGTAATCTTGTATGTAAGATAATATAATGTGTTAGCTTTAATGTCCAATAGATTTTAAGTATTATTTTATAAAATCTGTGACATTAAATTCTTGTGCAAAGCGCGAATAATTTTACTAGTTATGAAATAATACGCAACAACCGTCCAAACAAAGGGTTAAGATATAACGAAGCCAAGAAGGAGAAAAAAAAAAAAAACAAGAAACCCCATTAGAGCTTTGTATCTCTTGCTCCAACTCTGTTGCCGCTGTAAGTGTTCTTCGTTTCATAAACTTTGTCTATCTGATTTATTTGTAATTTATAATATAATACAAGTGTGGAATTAGGTGTTTATGCTTTAAAAAAGGAATGATTTTTTTGTTTGTTCTCTTTCACGTTTTGTTTTCATTTTTGGTGGGATTATGTATTCTTGGAATTTTTACATGTTACTTCAAGAAATCCGTCTGGGTTCAACCCTAGAACAACAACAACAACAGCCTTTAGCTCTCGATTGGTTATAAATTTTGAAGTTGAAATTTGATACTTGGAAAATTTAAGTTTTCAAAGTTGTGATTTTGGAATTTAAAGTTGTGTTTGGACATGTAATTTACTTGGAAATATTTTCGAAGTTTCTTGAGTGGAAGTCCCAAAAACTAGTTTAAGCCAGTTCTTGGGCACTTCAAAATATTCGAAGATCAAATTTCATGGTCAAAATATATATTTGAAGATAATTTTCAAAATCTAATCTAAAATTTATGGTCTAATGCTAACTAAAACTCGGAGATAATGGGTCTGGCTCCTCTTCCACTTAAATATCAAGCTTAAATCGCGCATGACGTAATGTTGGAACTTGAGACTGGTCACAAATTCCTCAATGCTCATACAATATAGTGGAGTAGTATTTCAAAATCAAACCCTTAAACCCCCTATATAGTTGAAATCCTACACAAATAGCCGATCATCCATATATTTCGATGGCAATTATATATGAAATGCTATGTAAGATTTTTCTTGTTTGGTGTCTAACCGGTGTCCGGTGCTCCCTTGGGGCCCGACTGATTGGGATTCATGCCGAGAAGTCACACTTTGGGAGATGAGGTATAAGGTTCCATACTAAAAGCGACTGACTCCATTCTCATGGCTCGAACATGAGACCTCTGGTTAAGGATGAATGGGACACTTACCACCCCACCATAATCTTTGGTGGTAGGATTTTCATTGTTTAAGGAATACTAGGTACTTGATTTTGTAATACATGAAGTGTATCCGTGTCTGAGTCATACTATAGGTGTATTTAGTATAATTTACTCAAATGTTAACGATTCGATGGGGCTATAACATATCTTCAAAACAGTATTGGCTTGGATGGAACTATGCCCCTGTACCTGTTTGACATTTGGATTACACCTACCGCAGTCACTTGCATTTGAGGATTTTGCTTCTAATGTCAGTTTCCTATCTATAATATAGTTACGGGTGTTTCTGTTTCTTGTGGCTCATTCTTTTGAATGCTTGAAACAAAAAAGAATGATACTTTTTATCAGTTTTCCCTTAAAAACTTGTGTGGAATATGCTTAGCTACTAGATTTACACCATTTGCTGAATGATTTTGACCAGTAACGCTTCCAATGTGTGCAATCGCGTTTCCCCTGGTTATGCATCTGCATTCTTGAATAGTTTTTGCCTTGCATTGGTTAGGAATTAGGATAATCACGTTTCCGTTTGTAAATTAATGTGGCTAATTTCAGTATCTCATACTGAATCCATCTTAGTAGACCTGTTTGAAAATGAAAAATATGGTTACTGAAATTCTCACATGAATTGGCAAGTTTTACGCTGACTGACAGCCTACCTCAACCCCCTCCCTTTATCTAGGTTGGGGACTGGCAATGTAAGCAAGCTCACACAGGCGGAGTTTTAGACTTGTTCTAAGACTTATTAGTCATTTTTATTTCATTTTGTATGATGAATTGATGATATACTATGAGCTTAAATGAGGAATGTGGCTCGTCGCACAGGGCTTGCATAGTGCGGTTTACCTCTTTTGTGTGGTTTGCAAGCTATTACTGTACAAGCGCGGGGGTTACTCTGTGAGCTTACAATGGGGCTAGGCTACGGGTTCCCTTGTCATTGAAAAAACAAAAAAAAGACTGTGGATTCATATAGCCGTAGCCAACTTGTATGGGACTAGGGCGTTGTTGTTGTTGTACTGAAATTCTCACAAACTACAATATTTGCAGGACTGGCTCAAACGAAGATAGAACCTTCTCCCATAAGATACCAAATGGCATCTCAAGTTAACCACAAAGAAGAGACATTTGATTCACATTTTCCATGGATTCATCGAGATAATTTCCCCCCAGCAACAATATTTGGATCCGAATCAAAACCTTGTGCTGCTGTTCCTATTCGTTCTGTTGCCCCGACAAGTGAACAAAATGTGGATGTCAAGTTCAAGGCCAAATCACAGAAGATGAAGAAAAACAAGAAAACATCTATGAAGGGAATTCGTGAAACTGTATCGGAACTTTTGAAAGAGGAACGGTGTGTAAAGAAGTCTTCTGCCTCTAAAAAAACTAAAGGAGAAGCTAGATGTGGAGAGGCCACTGTAACAAAGAATCCAAATCCAGTTTACGGCCGAGCTAATGCTGATTTTTCTGGCCTGCCAGCTGCCACCCCCGTTTTGTTCCTGTACAGGTGTTTCTAGACGGTGCTACAAATGTGGAGGTGGGTGGCAATCATCATGCTGTACCACCTCCTTATCTGTGTATCCCCTCCCATTCAATCCCTCAAAGCCTGGAAATCGTAAGGCTGGGAGAAAAATGTCTAATGGAGCATATAATAAGCTTCTGTGTACACTTGCAACTGAAGGTCATGATCTTTCTAATCCAGTTGACCTGAAGGACCATTGGGCAAAACATGGTAGTAACAAGTTTATTACTCTCAAGTGAACACGAGGAAAATTGACTCAACGTGTATTATGTATATATTATTTTGCTCTCCAACTGTTGCTTCCTCCGGTAAGCATTAAAGAAACCTTGAGTAGGTGGTTGTTAATATGTTGAACTTAGTACTCATAAATTCTGGTAATATCATGCTTCTCTGTATTAGTCTTCGGATGCTTCCTTTGTTCTAACTAAAGTATGACATTCTGAGACTCACATTTTTGCATGAAATATTGTGTTTGTGAGTATCAGATTTTCTGATTTTTTTTGGTGGTTTCAATCTCAATTATTGTTCAGTAGCTTACATCCGAGTAGTTGGTGCAGAAACTGCTTGGAATTGAAATGCATTTCACCATTTTATTATCCATGTTACAACTCTCAACACATTTCCAGCTACAAATAAATACATAACAAAGTGTATTTTTCTCATTTATGGGGAATTATCTACCATGAAACTGAGACATGAAAGTGGAGAAAAGAAGTCGGCAAATAAAATTTAGGGAAGAAGGGAAACAACTAGGTACAACAGATGATTCTGGGGCCTAGCTGTTAATATAGTTTGGCAAAGTTTAGGCCTTTGCAGCTGTGACTGGAGCTCCAGCTCTGCTGGCAACGATTTGCTCGTAGAGGTCTCTGATCTTCAAACCGACAATGGTCTGGAAGAAACCTGTTCCATTGTTGCTGCCAGGGAAGTCAGCATGCTTCAACATTTGTTGAGTAACTTCACCATAAAATTTACTGGAGAGGTTGCTCAAATGGCTCTCTACATAGATGAGTTCATCTAGTCTGTCAAATTGGCCATCCATCTCCAAGACAGATACCTGCAAGTACGAAGAAAAGCAGATGGTGAAAATACGGCATGATTTTTGGAAGAACAGCTGAGCAATGGTAGAAACCCGCTTTCTGGGTTTGCCAGGTATTTTCTAGCATGTTGTCTTTAAAGAACTATGACATATCATTGAAAGGTATCGAGAAGAAGCTTTAACATTCTTTTAGTGTTTATTTACCACCTGTGTTAGCTTGCTTGCTCACATTGTTGGTCCCAAACCCGAACAAAGGATGGTTGGTAAACTGGATTGAAGTTTTTCAGCCTAGTCAATTTAAGATGAATCCTCACATACAAAGCTTAATTTTCTAGCCTGACTAGTAATCAGCAACTAATGTCCTGCCAATTGAGTTCCTCGGGTCGAGTCTAGACAGGTGGACTAGATTACCATCTGATGCACCTTATTCTTAATACTCGGTGCAAAACTACATGGCGTAATTAGATATTTTGTATCTTATCCTTCCTTGCGGATTCCTGATTTCTAAGGGAGTAGTATGGAAGAACTTTACTTTAAGATAGCTCGAGCAGATACCTTGCCTTCTTGATCAATCCCTTTTCCCCCACATTCAGATCCTTTCCAAATTTTCTATGTTTGTATCACTGAGACACCATAAAGGCCAACCATATGTACCTAGGGAGCCTCGGCTCATTCAAATCAGAATAGAACGAGCACCTATCACTAAGGGGAATGGAATGTCGACCACAAGGCAAGAGAGTCGATTGATTAGTATGATCAAGTTTTGGCAGGTAGAGAAAGAATGCAACATATACCTCATTGCCAAAGTAGGTATCAGGGCCATAGGTGAATTTGATGCCAGGGTAAGAACAAGTCAACTTCCTACCACAAGGAATCCATGAGATTGTCGATCCTTCATCGAACAGGTAAACTGGATTGAAGTTTTTCACTCCTTCCTTCATTATCAATCTCACTCTCAAAACTTTGCCTTCATTGTCATCTGGGATTAGCTGAGTTGGGAGCACTTCAATGACTGCATCTGCATATTGCTTTTGTGGGTCTGCACCAAAAAATACAAAAAAATTGCCACATTACTTATCTTATTCATTAATCATATTCTTGTTTTAACTATCTATGTTCTCGGACTCTCCAAATATGTTCTCGCACTCATGTTTTGGAGGATCTGACACACATCATGCAACTTTTTTTGAAGATTTGAGCAACATAGCTAATTGTTATTTCAAGGGAATGTAGTTCACCAATGTAAGCATCAAAATCTGGTTTCCTGGCTTCAATACTGGCCTTAATGCTCTCAAGGCTGTGTCCTCTCTCAGCCATATCCCTCTGCATTTTCAAAAAAGCACCGATATCATGCCTATTTCATTCGAGTCTTAAAGATCTATGTATTGACAACGTAAAAGATATTTACATAATCAGGTCACTAATACGCATCGTTATAGGTAAATGTTATAATTGTATAACATGTTAAATCGTAATTATAGTTACCTGGATCTTCCAAGCAAACTTGACCTCATTGCTGATATCCAAGTAGATACTGAAGTCCAAGAGGTCTCTCACACGCTCATCATACCTTTATACCATAGAAAATGAAAAATAAATTTATCAGATTTACTCCATTATGCTAAGATTATTAATACATGCATTAGAATGATTAAAAACACAATTGTCCCTAAAAGTGTACAAAGCTAAAGAATGCGGAGTTCATATTTTAGAACTAGCACTTTTTTAAAAAAAATTATGCAATATATGTTATTTTTAACACACTAAATAACAGTGGATAAGAGATAATGTTAGTATAACTAATCCCTACATTACAAATCTAAATATTCGAAACTTTGATCCCATTAGATAGTTGTATTTTTCTCCTATCTCTATTTTGATAGTAAATACACCTTATTCATCATTATTTTTATACATCCTATCAAACCACTTCTACATGTAATATAAATAAGTGCATCAATAAATAAATTTAGGTAAGAGTGGCATTGTTATTTATGGTGTTTAAAGGTACTAATGGTGATTTTTGGTGTGTTGCTATCTAATTTTGACAGCAGAGATAGCTATCTAAGTTTGAGGATAATGTCATAAAGTTTCACATTATGATATAAAATTGGATGTTTCTATCGAGTTATACAAATCAAAAGTCCCATAGCAAACATAAAATTTGTTATGGAGTACAATTATGCAAACTATAGCTATAACATACAAATATGATTTTTATATTTGTTATATGTGAAAGCTGCTCTTTTTAAATCAAACCATACATATATTTTTGGATTAAATTATTAACTGAAGATATTTTGCGTTGAATTTATATAATTTAAGGACATTCTGACTTGTTTGGACCTTTTAAAAATATTATTATATTTATATCAATTTTTCTTAAAAAATCATATAATTTTTAAAGAATCAAGACACATACTTGTCAATATTCTTAAAGATCCCAAGTAATACATGTCAAAAGAAGAGAATCCCCTACACCATTCTAATTTTTCTTTTTTTCCCTTTTGTAGGGAAGTAAATTATGAAGTATATTTTGTTACACAAACGACAAGAAGAATTAAAGAATCTTAATTTATACGGAGATACCAAAGTTTTCTTTCAATGTGCTCTTGCATGTGTGTTGTTTTAACATTAGAAAAACATCATTGCATTTCTTCAAAAATTTAACAATAACATACTCACAGTTATATAAATTTAGATATATTAACAATAAAGTTTTTTATATAATAAGTGGAAGAATAACCCATAAAATAAGTTAAAGTAATCTTTTTTATTCATTTCATATGACACATTTTCATTTTTAGTCTATATTTTAAAAAAATAAACTTCTATTATATCTAAAAAGAAAATTAGCTTTAAAATCTTCATTTTATCTTTAACGACATAATTTCACAACCACATAAATGTATACCACATGTTTTAGATAAGAAATTTTTTTTTTTAAAAAAAAGAAGCTTTTTCTTTTTTCTTAAACTCCATCTCCACTCAAACAAGAGTGGAGTAGAGTTAAAACTTCACAAACATGTTCGACAAAACTCAATAACTTTTAACTCAAATTTTATAATGATATTTTAAAATCCACTTAATAAGTATAAGTAAATTATCAACAAAAAAAAAAAAAAAAACTCACTAATAAGCTATATATTTCAAAATTCTAACTCCACTCCACAACCCAACACTCTGACATAAAAAGTTGAGGATACTGTCAGTCAGTGCATATAAATTAAACAGACGGAGTACACTTACATGGGGTGTAATCCTTCAATGACAAGAATCTTTGGAGGCTTAATAACCTCAGGAGGATCAAGAAGACCACTAACATGATTATAAATAGGTTTATCAACAGCAACACCATCTTTAATAGCTTTAACTTGTTCATACATAAGGTCAAAATCATTAGCTCTAGGATCAAGAGCAGTTACCCCTTTTTCTTTTCTACCAGTTCTATCAAGTGAATGATAATCATCAAGACAAATAACAGTAGTCATGTCTGATATTAATGTGTTTGAATCTGGATTTCCACCTTTTGGTGGTTCAGCAGCACCACCAAAAACACTTGTTAATCTCCTCATAAATGTACTTTTACCACAACCAGAGTCAGCTGCTAACCCAATTACAACTGTTTTTTCAGCATCAGAAGCAGAGCATGTTATGACATGATTTCTTGTGTTTCTTGATCTTTTTGTGAAGAAAATTACTTGTTTTTGGTGAAATCTTAAGTGGGATTTTGATGGAGTTGAGATTGAACAAGATGAATTGAGTGATTGAGCAGTGTACACTGTACAAACTGCCATTTTTTCTTTATTTTTTTTCCTCTCTGTTTCTTGAGAGGTTTTTGAGATAGAATTATGGAGGAGACTATTTTTATTTTTTTTTCTCACTGACTTTCTGATAGATTAATGTGTGACATGTAATGAATGAATGGGCATTTTTTTGGTTTTTAGGATATTTTGTTCTTGGAATTAGGAAAAAAATATGTGAGGCTTAGAAAATTTTGTAAGAAGTTAAGGCTATGGTTATGGTTAGAGGAAAACAGATGGCTGTTTTGTTTGGATAGTGAAGTGTGTTGATTTGGATTTTTATGACTACCCTTGGCTTTGGAGGAGGTAGTATTAAGTTACTCTTAAAATGTTGTTGTATTTGTATCGAATTATTTAAAAGTAGTATACTGATTTTCGAGAATTTAACACACATTTTTTGAAGAGTTGAGTTAGGAATTTCTAGTTGGTATACACTGATATACATGAATTATACGTTTGACGATAGGTTTTAGGATTCATTATTTACTTTTAGTTTCTAGCCAGTATACATTGATATACATGAATTATACGTCTGACGA